CAATCTCGAGGTTTAAATCTCGAGATTACAATCTCGGGTTTTAAATCTCGAGATTACAGACTCGAGTTTAAATCTCGAGATAACAGTCTCGAGGTTAAACTTCGAGATTACAATCTCGAGTTTATAGATCTCGAGATCTTAATCTCGAGTTTGCCTCGAAGAATAATGACGAAATCCACCTGCAAAACAAACCTCAAGACTTCGAAATCTTTAGAATTTCAAAATGTTTGGAACATCGGAAACTTTGGAGTTTCAAAAACCTCAGAAAATTGAAAACTTGTTGTTTGAAAAACATGAGAACATCGAAAACTTCTAATAACTTTGAAAAACAGAGACTCATCCAAAAATCCTATAATGTAAAACTTCGAAGTGTTCTGAACAGGAAAGATATCAAGTTTAGAAGAAATCGGTGATTCAAGAAACTCCAAACTTTGAAAAATTGAAAACATCGAGAAATTCCTAAAATCTCGAAATCTTTCAGAATGTCGAGATCTTCAAGATGTCGAGATCCCTAACTTTGAAATCTCGAAATCCAAATATGTCGAGATCCTGCAAAATGAAAACTTCGATTTTTGAAAATCTGAAAATTGTTCTGAATAGCCCTGAAGGTCGAGATTCTCCTATATCAGTTTCAAGTCAAAATCGTTTCTGCAGCCATGTAAAAACAGAACCTCGAGATCCTAATGTAGAGATCTTCGAGATTGAAAAATTGCAGAAATAAAAAACAGAGATATGGTGTAGAATCGGTTTTGAAAGGCGATTCCAACAGTATAATTTTTATAAAATTTCGTTCACAAACAAGATTACAGGAGCAAATCTCTACATCAAAGAAAAAGAAGAAAAAGCAGAGCAATTCTTCGTTAGATACGAAAAATCGGCGATGATTCAACCTGTTTCACGTCTCGGCTCTGATACCAAATGATAAACCCAGTATGCTAACAATCAAACAATCATGTGCAAGGAAGAAGAAGCAGATAGAAAGATATGAGATGAACAAACAAATTTTGTATACCGCGTAGAACACTGCTGCTCTCCCTCGAGAGAGAGAGAGTAGCGGAAACCCTAATCTCTCTATCTCCGCGCCTCTATTCTCTAAAGCCTCAAAATCTTAGGGTTCCCGTAAGTTAGCCTGCTTTTATAGGAGAAGTTGGCTAACTTACGGGTTACAAAGAAGCTAACGGACTGATACACATTTGTGACTCGTATTACACGTTTAATTAATAACTACACAAATACAAAGATATTTAATTAGATTGGACACCATAAAATATTCCTAACAGGTAGTCATAGGATAACACAGTTGACTGGGGAAGGTGGGGGCGGTGAAAACATAAGAGACGAGGGAGAAAAATTTGCTATTTCATGAGAGGGATAAGCAGGATAGGGGATTCTTACAAGTTGGGGATAAGGAAATATATTGGCAATAAGCGAGCATGGCGGGAAGAGTAAATGTGATGGGTTGTGGGATTGAGAAAGTAATATGCACTTTGCGTGATATAATTAGACCTGGACAAAACCAGCCCGGCCGCCCTAGCCCGCCCAGCCCGCCTGCACAAATGGGCGGGCTTGAGCATATATATTTACCCAACAGGCCAGCTCGAGCCCAGCCCGCAATAAGATATGAGCGGGCTTGGGTAAGGGTGTAGGTCCGTTCGGGCCAATAAGCCCGGCCCGCTACATTTAGTATATATATATATATATATATATATATATATATATATATATATATATTTATACAACATCCAAACCTTAGTCCAAAAAGATATTGGGGTCGGCTAACATGAATCAATACATGATATCACCACCAAAAGGAAAAGAAAGGAAACAAAGACAAAAAAGATAAGCTATTATAAAAAGATAATATAAAAAGAGATGAATATACATAAAAATGATAAAATAAAAAGGAGACAAATAATGTTTATATATATATAAGGATAAAAACAAGGAAAAAAATATGAGGAGAAAATATGATACGAGATCACTCCTCCACACGAATACCCTCCCTCCACGTAGCTCTCTCCAAAGTCATGCCCTCATCCAACCCCAGAAGAAGCATATCACTTCGAACTCCCCTAACCCACGTCTGTTTGGGTCTTCCTCTCCCTCTCTTCCCTACCTCTTCTCCACGCATCTCAACTTGTGTGACAGGTGCAACACTCCCGCAACTTGTCTTCAATAGGTGCTACTCTCACCCTTTATCTGATTGTCTCATTCCTCACACGATCCTTCCTAGTATGCACACACATCCAACGCAGCATGAATGTGACATTGTTTCACCGCCCAACACTCTACGACATACAATAATGCAGGCCTAATTGCTGTCCTATAAAATTTACCTTTCAGTCTAGTCGGCATACCTCGATCGCATAGAAATCCCGACGCACTCTTCCACTTCATCCACCCTATTCAGATTCTATGGGATACATCTCCATCTATGTAACACCCCGGCCCCGTAGGCCCTGGGGTAGTTACTTCTGACATCTAGTACTGTCCTCACACACCACCACTAGCCTTTTCCGCGCACTTTGTCCTCACTCGTGCGCACCCTGAGAAACTTCCCAGGGGGGTCACCCATCCCAAGACTACTCCCGTGCAAGCACGCTTAACTTTGGAGTTCTTGGGTGATGAGCTCCCTTAAAAGGAGATGCATCTTGTTGGTATGAGTAGTACTATTAATCCGTTTAAATTAAATCTCAAGTGTTACAATCACCCCCACTTAAGAACGCAACGTCCTCGTTGCGCCCACAAACCAATCTCAATCACATCCCAGAATCTTTTCCCCTGCTAAGTGCCCGCCCGATATCCAACGGATCAGCACACTGTCGCAGGGTTGCTCTGATACCATTTGTAACACCCCGGCCCCGTAGGCTCTGAGGTAGTTACTTCTGACCTCTAGTACTGTCCTCACAAACCACCACTAGCCTTTTCCGCGCACTTTGTCCTCACTCGTGCGCGCCCTGAGAAACTTCCCAGGGGGGTCACCCATCCCAAGACTACTCCCGTGCAAGCACGCTTAACTTTGGAGTTCTTGGGTGATGAGCTCCCTTAAAAGGAGATGCATCTTGTTGGTATGAGTAGTACTATTAATCCGTTTAAATTAAATCTCAAGTGTTACAATCTAACTCACCATCCTTCTGAATGATGGAGCCCAAGTAACAAAACATATCGCTGACTAGTATCCCCTTACCATCCAGAGTAATTCTGCTATTACCACTTCTTCTACCTCCACCAAACTTGCACTCCATGTACTCTGTCTTGCTCTGACTTAGTTTGAAACCCTTATTTTCCAATGTTTATCGCCATACTTCCAACTTTGCTGTAAGACGTGATTGCGTCTCATCAATTAATACAATATCGTCGACAAACATCATGCATCACGATATATCGTCTTGAATTGACTTCGTAAGTTCATCCATGACTATGGTAAATAAGAAAGGTCTCATAGCCGATCCTTGGTGCACTCCGATAGTAATAGGGAACTCTTCAGTCCTCCCTACACTAGTACAGGCACTTGTAGTACAATCCTCATACATATCCATGATGATGTTGATATACTTGCGTGATATGCCTTTCCTAGTTAAGGTCCACCAAAGAACTTCTCGAGGTACCCTATAATATGCCTTTTCTAAGTTACTGAACACCAAATGCGGATCCTTATGAGCGTCTCTATACTTCTCCATAAGTTGCCGAAGAAGGTGAATGGCCTCAGTTGTTGAGCGACCAGGCATAAAACCGAATTGATTCTCTGAAATCTTCACAGTTCTTCGAAGTCTTTGCTCAATCACTCGCTCCCAAAGTTTCATGGTGTGACTCATAAGCTTAATCCCTCAATAGTTGGCACATTCTTGTACATCACCTTTATTCTTAAATAAGGGGATAAGAGTACTCTTCCTCCAACTCGTTGGCATCTTATTGTTTCTCCAAATCATGTTGAAGAAATTTGTTAACCACTCGACGCCTCTCTCTCCCAAACTTCTCCAAGCCTCGATCAGTATGCTATCTGGACCCACTGCTTTCTTCTGTCCCATCTTCCTCAGAGCTTCTTTAACTTCCGTTGTTTGGATCCTTCTCACAAAATCACGATTTACCATACAATTGGTATGGATAAATCACCGATATCTTGCGTTTTGTTCCCGTTAAATATATATTTATATATATACTAATTTATTTATTTATTTGCATATACACATATATATTTATATTTACTAATTTTTCTTTATACATATTTATAGTTTATTATGTTTAAATTTTTAGTTCTTAACAACTAGCCCAACCAATATAATATCTATTTTAGAAGAAATATCTTTTGATAGATTGTTTCAAAAAGTAGAATCAAATGTTACATATTGTTTACTAATCAAGAAGTGATAAACAAAAATGTGACTTAAAGTACTTTTATCACTATAATTGCTTTTATTTACAACTACATGCAATCATTAGGATATAAATATTGTACACAATAATAGTTACACAAAATTATTAAGTCACATTTTTATCCACCACTTTTTTCGAAGTATAATTAGTGAAGTTTTTTCTTGGGTTTTTAACAAAAATATTACTAAAATAAAAATTATTTACATAAATATGATTAACAATTACTACAATATAGTATTATAGTAACTAAAGTCTAAAAATTGAACATAAGTTACTATGAATTCACTAATCTCATTTTTGTAAAAAATCTTTATTTTTAGTCATAAATATGTAATTATTTCTTTTTTCTTAGCAAAATGAAGGAGATGAGGGTTTGAAAGTAGAAATATTAAAAATTTATAAATTTGTAAATTGGAAGAAAAGTAAATTCAAATAAATAATTGGGTGCATACTCTAATTCTTCCCAAACTACGTAATTATCGGTGGGCGTAGCCCAACTGGTAGCGAGGGAGTGTCACAGGGTTAGGTCACGAGTTCGAATTCTTTCAACTGCGATGAGAGGTGAATATGCTAAATAGGGTCTCTGCAAATACCATGTATCCTCACTCTATATTGTCAGATTTGAATTATAGTTCAATTTAATCCTACCAACCTCATCTCCTTCATTTCGATCTGGGTGGGGCCCGGGTGTCATGCTCCCAAACTACCTAATTGTGTGCCCATTTACAGAAACCCTAGTTCATTAATTTGTCCTATAAAGCCCTCCTTAAACCCCTTCCTCTCTTCCGGCTACTCTGTCTTCCCTCTGTCTCCAAGCATCACCGCAGACCCTCTATCTTCTCTCAGTTGCAATGGCGTTTTGGGGTAATTGACCTCTGTTATTTTCTGTAACCCTTTGCTTCTCCTATACTTCTTGGATACGATTGTCGTGCCATGGCCTTAGAAGTTGTGTGATACCTATATTTCCCCGCTAGTACTAACGCATATGTTCGATTACCCGTTGTGATTTTTCAAGTACTTAAGCACTAATTAAGTAATTGCTTTTTACAGCGTCCCCTATCCGTTGATCTATTCTCATGTTTTTCTTATTAATATAATTTCTGCTACTGGCCTTTGATTTCAAGGTTTTCATTTATTAAAACTTGTGGACATACATAAGCTACTCTAAGCGTATGCAAGCGTGAAATCACTTGCAGATGTTGCAGTGATTCGCAGAGTCATAAGCTTGTGTTTGTGCGATGTATTTACTGATTTTAACATAATGTCCAGGTGTTGAAGTCAAACCAGGGCAGTCCCTGAAAGTTGACGCTGATGAAGTGATCCATATTTCCCAGGTTGGAACTGCCTTAGCTTTCACATTGGGTAGTTTCATAACTGAATTGTGTTTCTCAGTTTTGAATTTACTGTCACAGGCATCTTTGGGTGAGGTGAAGGATGACAGTGGAGCAAAGAATGTTTTACTCCGTATGAAGGTGGGAAAGGAGAACTTTGTCATAGGATCTCTCTCAGCTGGAGAAAGACCACAAATAATGTGTGACTTGTATCTTAACAAAGAGTTTGAACTCTCTCATGACTTGAAAAGTGGAAGTGTCTACTTTCTTGGATACTCTGAACCACCACAATTATATCCTTGATGATTGTCATTATTTTATTCAACTACTATTGTGCCTCATATTTTTTTCTATGACCAGAGTCCATTGGTGAGTTTTGATTTTATGTATAACCATAATGACCACAATACATTCACTTTTTCGTAAAGGCATATATTCCATAATTCTAGATGATCGATTTGTGATAATACTAGTGCTGGATATGCCTAACAATCACATTCTCATTTTGTTTATCCTTGACATTACATTTTTTCCACTGGAGAAGAAACTGATTCTGGTTAGTATCCCTCTACTTGTATTAAAATGGTTTGCCATGCTATTTTTCCCAAACTAAATGCTCTAGTTTGCTTTATTTTTCAGATGATACCTCTGAGTCTGAAGAAGATTTACCCATAAATGCCCTGGAAAAGGGTGAGTTCATGATTTATTTACATGAGTCTGTGTTATTAATTTAATTATATAAGTTAAATACTTATACCTGATGTAAAAAATCTTTATTGTTGCAATTATGGGAGTAATTATTTTGCGATGCTTTTTATTGGTTTCTGCTTAGTTGAGTTGTGCAATTTTTTAAACGGTTTAAACCTGTGCTTTTAATTCTAAGACTAAGCACCTTTGGTTTTCTCAGATAAACCTGAAGTCAAGGCTGCTAATGGGTTGAAGCAGGAGGAGAAAAAGAAAGCTGCTACACGACAAGTGCTTTCTAAGAAACCAGCATTGAAACCATCAAAACCAGCTGTAGAAGACCATGATCCTGATGAGGATGATGACTCTGATGATGATGATTTTGGAAGTGAGGTATATCTAGTTATTGGATCAACTAACACATTGCACTGCCATATATGATTTAATTTTACATTCAAACAAAGAATACATAAATTTTTATCTGTCTGGTTGTAATATAATGTCTTTTCAGATAATAAAGTATATGTTTCAGTTTTTTAGGGAAAATAACTTTCATATGTAGCAATTATGCAGTATAGGCGAGAAGTAATTCCAACCTTTGAAATTATAATTAATAATTAATAATGCGATAGCCAAATATTCTCAATTTATGACAAATAATTGGCCATTGATAATTTGATAGCCAAAGAATTTCAGCATATGGCAAAAATGATTGGTCAGAGGCCTAAAAATAATTGAAACTATCAAATACTGCTGCACCTTTACGATGCCATAATTTTAGCAGTATTTCTGGCTGGAAGCCTGCTCATTATTTTTATATACATGCATTGTTATGCATACTGAAACAGTTCAACTATCAATTTGTAATTTCTCAAGCTGGGATTATTTAGTTTAGCTATTCATTTTTATTATTTTAAGACATTTTTCCAATTTTTTGTATTCATCTCTGTACTTGTATGTTGGATTTGGCATTTGGTAATAGGATTCTGATGAAAGTATGGAAGATGGTGACTCATCTGATGAAGCAGAATCTGAGGAAGATGATTCAGATGAAGAGACACCAGTGGTAGTATGTGAACAATGTCCTGAATTATCTTTATAGTGAATGAGTCTTAGAAATTGCTATTAATTATAAAACTCTGTATTCTGAATCATCTTTTTCAAGCCCATGGAGCAGACAAAGAAAAGGAAACCAGAATCTGTTGTAGCAACTAAAGCTCCTCAGAAGAATGCAAAACAAACCCCACCTCAAAAGACAGGTTTGTGTTTAACTTGTGTTTCAAAACACAATAATAATATTAGTAATATATTAATGATTATAATAATAATATACTCTGTATTACTCTGTTAATATTCTTATATTTCCTTGTGCTTCAGTTGTCATTATATTTCATTCTATTTTTATATATTCCCTAATGCTTTACTTGTACCTATTAAGCTAAGTGTATTTCTTATTTGTATTGATTTTTGCTATTTGTGGCTAACCCTATTTTTTTCATCTGTGCAGTTGCTAAGAAAGTTGCATCTGCTAAGCAACCTAAAACTCCCAATTCAATTAATAGTTCAAACAAGTCCAAAAAGTTGGTACCCAAGACCTTTTAACATTCCACAGTTGCCTTCGTGTGCTACAATAAGTGTTTTAAAACCTGGTCACTTGTCTTTTGCAGGAAAAGTTTCCCAAGAAAGCTGTAAGATATCGTCTTCTTTATCTATTCCGGGATAAATAGAACTGAAGTTATGGATTATTATTCACGGCAAACTCAACAATTTTGGCACTGGTTTACAATTTGAGTGATTACAAATGAAGAATCATTTGCTATCTAAATATTGTTTTTACTTTTTGATACAATTTGATTTCGTTGCAATGGTAACCAATTTTTAAAGTACAATTATGTGTGATGTAGCCTTTGGGTCTCTGGATTTTGGTTAAGAGTGTTATTGATCTCCACCTGGCCTCTAGCCGTGGAATTTTAATGTGCCAGTGATGATGGCAGTGAATGCATTTAGATGATAATCTCATAATCCAATGTATATCCTTTGCCCAAAAAGTAGGTCAAAATTTTCAGATGTAATTTCTCTGAATTCGAAAGTTAACATATTGCTTATAGAATTGGAGTCTCCTTGGAAATTAATAAAAGTCCGTCATTTTCAAAATAGGTTTTTTGATAGAGAAGAATCAAGCTCAGTCCAATTACACGACTGTACAGTTTAGCTTAACAAATGCTTTCTCCTTGTTTAAAAATATGAACCATTTTGTTTTTTGTAGTTTTCCACATTGTTTTTTGGTCAGCTTCCCTTATTGAATTCTTCATCAAGAAATACCCGAGTATTTTTGCCTTTTCACATTTTCACCCACAATTCTTGAGAACTTCAAGCACGAATTGATTCAGAAATAAATAAGTTATTTTAGATTTATAACTATAGTATAACTAAATACTCTTGCCTCTATCTCATTTTATGTCATTTTAAGTGGTTAAAAAATTAAAAGTTGTAGTTTAGATGCGAGTATAATAAAGTGAAGTGAAATGATGTGAATTACTCATCCATATCTAATTAGTTGTGCCGTTAGGGTTATCACGTTTTCACGTGGTTGAAGGAGTATTATTATTATAGGTGTATTGCAGATAAAGCAAGAAGTATTGTAGATAAAGTAAAATATGTACGGTAGCATAAACGAAAAGTGCAAAAAATCAGCAAATGGTGCAAATGCAAAGTCAAATATTATGCACAAATGAAAAGTGCAAAAATTATGCAATGTAGCACATATGCACGTCTGAATAAGGCCCAAAGTGGTGCCAACATTTCATGTTTTGGAGCCACAATAATTCCAAAATTTCAGGCATCTATAAATAGAAATCCTTAACCAATCAATTTTGTCTCAATAGATATTTTTTCAGACCAGAATCAGTACACATGAATAGCAGGGTGTGTTGTTGTGGTTGCTATCTCCAATCCGTCCAAGCCCTGGGACTTTCCAATTTCTTAAATCTGAACCGATATGCCAAGAAAAAAGCCCAGTCTCACCACCACAAAGTATGGATGAACTCGGGCCGGGTGGCCCGACCCAGAACCGGCCCCGGACCGGTACTGTTCCGGTCCGGCCCGACCCAGAACCGGCCCCGGACCGGTACTGTTCCGGTCCGGCCCGACCCGGTGGCCCGGTCAGTGACCGGTCCGGGTAGACCCGACTTGTGGGTTTTCCGGTCTGGGCTCGGGTCACCCAAAACAAGGCCCGACTCGGCCAGGTCCGGGCCCGGTTCGGGCCAAAACTATATTGTTTTTCATTTTTTTTAAATTTTCGGGTTGTGCTGGGTATTTTGGGCCATTTGGGGTGGTTTGGGGGGTTGGGGGGTGGGAGGGGGGTTAATTAGGAAGAGGGGGAAAAATTGATAATGGGCCCGACTTGGCTCGGCCCGGACCCGGACCGGACCCGGATCGGACCCGGACCGGACCCGGATCGGACCCGGTGGTTACCCGGGCTGGTCCTGGGTCCACCACTTCTGAACCGCCGGCCCGCCCGAGCCTAGGCCTGACCCGGACCCGGCCCGGACCCGAGTCCATCCCTACCACAGAGCGTGCAACAATTATGTACTTCCTATACCAAAAGACAGTGAATGGAAGAGTCAGACGAGGTGGACTCACAGAAGCTAAGAGTGTCCTTGGCATCAATCGTCGAACCGTCTACAGGATATGGAAAGTGTCAGAACAATGCAAGGCTAAAGGAGAAACGGTCAACCTTAACTCTGATAGGAAGGGAAGGTGCGGTAGGAAGAAGAAAGAAGTGGGCATGACCACACTGTCTACCCTTCCGTTCCACCAAAGGAGTTCAATTAGAAGCACTGCCATAGCTTTGGAGGTACCTGCATCAACTATACAGAGATTAGTGAAAAGGAGAGAAATCAAACCTCACTCAAATGTGATTAAGCCGTTGTTAACGGCTGGTAACAAGATAAGTAGGTTTCAATGGTGCATGAAACATCTCAAACTAGAGTCACTCACACAAACTCCAATGTTTGATGAAATGTTTAACATCTAAAGTAATAATATTGAGAATGGACTACCAAATATTTTGTTGAGTCATCGTAATAATTATAGAAGGCCAATAGAATGTCAACTAAAGTTGAGGAAAACGTTTGGACAACTCAAGTGCTATTTTGACCCAACATGTCAGAAATAGCAGGAATAATTGGGAGGGACTTCCTACACCCACTTGGGGATATTCTACAAGCTAATTGGACTCAATCAATTGGGAAGGGAGACAAAATGATGGGGGAGGGGCGTGCTAGGCATGGGAGGAAGTCTCATTGAGACAAAATCCCATACCTCATGTTTTGTCTTGGCTTAATTGCCTATTGATTGAGAAGGAGTCTCCCTCCTTGGTTTCATACCATACAAAAGAAAACATAGAGAGATAAGGTCCAGGAAATTCTCTCAACAAAGCCATAGCTTGAAGGAAGAAAGGATAGAGCAAACCCAAGAAGAAAAACTAGAAGAAGAGGTAAGAACACAACTTCTACTCTTTAACTAATTTTAGTGTGTATGATTTTTAAGAAATCATATTGTGGATTAAATCATGAGTTCTACACGTTTAAAAGTGTAGAATATTATTATAAAGAGATGATAATTAACTTAAAAGAGTTGGTGAATCGATAGGAGTCGAAATCACCGGAAATCGCCAAGAAAACAGGCTGCCCATAACTGCAAGCCACGAACACCGCCCGACTTTCACGAAAGCCGCCCGGCTTTTGGCTTCTGTCTAGATTTTCCACTCTTGAATGGCCTAGAATGAGGACGGATCGAGGGGTTTTGCAAAGGCAACTAGTTGAGCACATCATAAGGTGAGGATGACTGACTATATTGCTTATAATTAGTGAGTTTAATTCATAAGATTACCTAAGGTAGTTAAATGTGATTTTCATGGACTATTAATGATTAATAATGCCTAAATGAAAATACTATTGTTTGAGTAAATGAAGCATGATATACAAATTTGGAAGAAACTGTGTACAATTATGTGATGTGAAAGTGATGGTGTATGATAATGGAATTAACTATGAAAATATTGTGATAAAATATACTTTTACTTCATGTATAGAATTCATGAATGGATAAAAGTGATATTTTTGATATTGAGATTAAATTATATTTGGATTGGAAAATCAATTGAAATGAACAATATGACTATGAATTAGGAACTTGGTTGTTCCAAGATTAATTGACTAGTAATGAAATACTAGTCGGAATGTTAGTATGAAAAATGATAGAATTAATCCAATTGTTTTGGATTGTGAGAAGTCATACCTTAGGTAGTCTCAAGAGATACCTTAAGGTCGGATTGTATAAGCTCTAAGTATATTAGGAGTAGGCCTTAAAGGCTACTCAAGGTAAATTGATCCTAGACATAGAATTGGCTTAGGAATCGAATAACTTGACTAAGAGCAAGGCTCTAGCATGACGTAATGGTGACTAAGAGCGAGGCTCTAGCATAACGTAGTTTGACTAAGAGCGAGGCTCTAGCACAAATGTAGATTGACTAAGAGCGAGGCTCTAGCCTAATATAGATCGACTAAGAGCGAGGCTCTAGCACGACGTAGAATGACGTAGAGCGAGACTCTAGCAAACGTTTCTGTTTTAAAAACAATTACATTAATGCTCATGAATATTATTTTCTGAATAATTAATTGGGGGCTTGTGTGCCTAAGTCTGCCAAGTGTGGCTTTAACACTTGTAATAATGTGTCCGCTGCTTTAATGAATATTTTACATAATGTTTGTGATAGAGTATATAGACTCGGACCCCCGGGTCTCACGACTATTGGGCCCGGACAGCGGCCCACATACGCTTAGTAGATAGCATTTATCTCATTATACACTCTATTTATTCATTTGTACCCATTAGAATAAATTAAAACTCATTTATTAGCCATTTATTGGCCTTTTATTGTAATTGGGCCTGCCAGGCCCAAGCCTGGAAGCCCAACCCACTTTTCTCCTATAAATACTCCCTATGGGGGACATGTAAAGGATGTGAAATTCATTTATACATCACTTTATTTCTCTAGCTCTCCCTTCTCTCTAGATAAATAATCTATCAGTTGGTGCACTCGTTGAGAGCTAGAACATATCAAGTGAGATTCCTCCCAACCAATAACATAGCACGTAAACTATGTGGTACCACTTCGGCCACGGCTGGGGCAACATGTCCCTCGGCCAAAGATCAGAATGGCATTCAAATTCAAAATGTTACCCCTTGCCAAATAATCATTCGACACTATCTGTGAGGTGGTAATCCAACGGCCAGGAATTCCTAGTATACTTTCGGCCAATAGGAAAAGAAAACTAAGGAGCATAGCAACTGACCGACGATCACTCGTCCCCACTTGGACACAACGGCTTAAGATCCCTCGGTCAAAGCAGGTTACGATCCAAGCTATCTCGTCGTCCATGGAATTAAGTCAGGTGACCACCGTCGTCCAAGTGCTCTCCCGCGGCCAAGACTTCACGCCGGCTATGTATCACTTCGTCCCAATCATGGGAAACTAACAAGCAATGCTTCCATCGGCCAAAACAGGGTCACATTGGTCAAGCACCACCTCCCTCCAGCTGGGAAGTCGAGATCAGCTCGGCTAAGACAACGGCTCCACCTCGGCCACACGCCGGCCAAGTCCACATGTCGGCCAAGTATCACCACAACCTAAGTATAGCAGCACCGACAACCCCTTGCACCACTTCGTCCACCACGCCTCGGGAAGGCTCCACCTCGGCTAAACCAAGGACTCCGCTCCAATCAGAGTTACAACGGCTACAGTAGGGCCTTCGGCCAGTCAGAAGCGGAATCACTTCAGCCAGAGAAAGCCCCCATTCCTCAAGCCACCGAGGAGCTAACAACGCTCATCGACCGACACTCATCGGTCGGCACTCATCGTCTGACACTCATCGGCCGCAACACACAGTCGGCCAGACAATTAAAGTAAGAAGGTAACACCCTCGTGATGGATAGTATACCCGGGGGGTAGCTTATCCGAGGGGTTATTACGGGGAATAACTACAGAGAAGTCAGAGCAAGTAAGAGAGAGAAAGTGTATTGAATATGTAAGTTAAGGCTTTTTAGCGTGGTTTACAACGGGGAAATGGGGTGCTATTTATAGTAGCAAT